GGGGGGGTTTGTATATGCTTCTTGATATGGCTATCTTTTAAAAAGTTTTCATTAAATAGATCTAGTTTAGCTATAGTAGTCATTTTCGAATAAACAGGTCAGCCAAGGGAGTAACTGAAGTCTTTAGGATGTTCAGGGGGACACATGACTATAAATAATGTGTAAACTTTTAAGATAATTATTTGATTCATATTTCCTGTGGCCGGCAGTTTGTACCGAGGGCATGTCTCACGCAAGAGCGCCATCTACAACCGCCCTCCGCTGAACCCTGAACTCATCCAGTGGGCCAGGGATTTCAAGGCCATCCAGTCTCACCATGCCATCAAGAGACAGGTCAAAATGGAGAACCTCTCCAATGAGTGAGTGGTTTGTTGTTTCTTTGTTTTGTTTTGTAAGGGGTTTTGGGGGGGGGGGGTTACACCTTTTAAATCCATTAATAAACTCTACTGAGAGCTAAAACAAAATAATGCAGAAATGTATACGGTATATGTACGGCTTTGTGGTGAAATTAGGTCCTTTTCGAAATGATGATATCAAAGAAGCTGACTTTTTCCACTGATGGACAATTTATTTATTTGCTTTTTGTTGTTGTTGTTGTTTTGTTTGTTTGGTTTTTTGTTTTGTTTTTGGGGGGGGCAGCACCTTTTATGTTCATTTAACAACAAATCAGTGGTGACAGGAGATGAATGTTTTAAACATGCACAGCGGAAGTGGAACAAATGGCAGATCGATGTACATTGTGGACTGACATGGAATGAGGCAAGTCGCATGTAGGTTTTTATTCTCCATATACTAGTACTCACTGCTTTGATGGTTTGAAAAATTGTTTTCCTCATTGCTGCTTAACATTCACAGGATCAGCTCCAACCATCGTGAGGCCAATGGAAAAATATCTGTCATAGGACCACACGTGGAGATATATGAGTAAGTGTGTCTTTATTTTTTAAAATCAAATATGAAAGTTTTCACATACGCACACACGCACATGCTCAAACACACACATACACACACAATGAATTAGATGTGAGTTTTGGTGTTAGCAATGATCTTCTTTGCTGATTTCACAGCAATGATCTTCTTTGCTGATTTCACATTGTATACAAGGCGCTGTGATTTGAGATAAAAATGTACCTTAATGCATGGGCCACCTTTACCTTTTTGCCCAACTGTAACACGCCTCCTCAACAGCCTCACTCTCTGGCCTCTTTCCCCAGCATTTATCACCCAAAAAAGACAGGACCCACGAAGAGGGAGTTGAACACAGCAGCCATTAAAATCCAGAAGATTGCCCGGGGCTGGATGATTCGACGCAAGATGGAGAAATTAGCCAGAAAGGTAAGTAGTGAAAATACAGCTAGCCCTCGATAAGTGGCTTGATGATACCACAATTTTTTTGGTGAAAAGACATGATTATAGATGTGAACCTTACTCGAGAATTTACAAGCATGTCTTTGAATCAATTTAAGTGTTTCTTTTTGTTTTGTTTAGTGTTTTACGCCACTTGCAACTGAATATAGTCAAATAAATGCCGAAGATTAGAGATGTTACAAGAGAGGAACAGACACAAAAAAGGAGAACAATAGATGTTTGATAGGAAAGAAGGAACAATCACCCCAGAGCACCCACCAACCATCCACAGATAAAGTGTCAGCGCCGCACCCCAAGTTGTATGTCTATTTTATATACCACAA